CGTTTCGGCTGGTGGCCTGGGGGGGGGGCTAGGGCTGGGGCGCACCTCGGGCTCCTCGCTGGGTTCGGGGGACGTCAGGGTCCTGCGATTATGTAACATCATGTGTCATATGATGAGCGCGGGCAGGGGCCAAGCGCCGAAAGCGGTGCACAGCACGAGGCGGACATGTGCGCAGGCGGCGGCACTCGGGCGCGGCGGGGGCGGTACAGCACTCGGGCCGCGGCGGGGCGGCGGTCGCGGGAGGGGCGCACCCGACGAGGCCGATGTCGTTGTCGAAGCATGATGTGATGAGGAGGCCGGGCAGGCTGTAGGTGTGCTTGTCGTGGGCGACCGGCTCCGCGGTAAGGGGCGGCGGCGCACGCGGCATCGTGCAGCAAGGACCGCGTCGGTGCCGCCAATGACGTTGAGTCTTCTTTGCTTAGTGTGTTCGGACCGCTCTGCTGCGCCGTGGAGGCGAATGGCTAAGGATTCCAGGCACCAAGATCTATGCCGAGTTGTATCGCCCTTCTGACCCTTTTAATGACTAGCAGCAGGTCATATCGAGTGTGTACGACCGATATCTACTGGCTCAGCGCCCTGGCGGATGCTTCTCTTCGACAGATGCTGCAGCTCGGCACGCGGTGGCCCCTGTGACTATCCAAGCTAAAGATTAGACACGTGGCGTGGTACTGCGCCCATTCAAGCCCAAGACAGAGCCCATTAGTTGCCACCACGACTGGAGTGCTTGGTGACCCGTGCTCATCAGTCAGAGATTCAGTCATAGCAAGCTCCCATGGTCATTCCCCATTTGCGTCGCTAGGTGCGCGTGCCGGGTGCCATTTACAAGTTGAACAGCATGTACATCCTCAAGTGTTCCGGCCGCAGCTATGACGCGGCCACGTTCCCCCGCTCCCCATCCCCCTGCCCCAGCGCGCCGCGAGGCTCCAGCGTCGCCCCGCCGCCCTGCGCTGCGTCTCGCAAGTAGGCCGCCACCAGCAGCGCCGAATTCTTTGCGGCCACCGCCGCCACCTGCAGACAGGGGGCGTCGGGCCGCCCTGTGTTACCGTGGCGACGAAATCGAGCTCTGCCTTGCTACAAAATCGAGCTCTGCCCTCAGGGCCCTCCTGCTGGTCACGTCCTCGCTGACTGAGGACCCCTCCACAGCCCATACACATCCCTGCCACACACACTCTCACATACACACACACATGACAGCGAGCGCGCACCTCCATAGCTGACGCCGCGTTCTCCAGGGCGTTGTTGTATATCAAGCCGGGCGCCAGCTCAAACGGCGCAAACTCCTCTGGCGGAGAAAACACGGGGTAGGCCCGCCAGGGCGTCCTGTCCACCACGCTGCCGCCCACGAAGAGGGCGTCCACGTCATCCGGCGTCAGCGCTGACCTGGAGAACACCTTGTAGAGGGCGCAGCCGCCGCCGTCGGAGGCGGCCCGCCGCCGCTGACGTCGCTGCTCTCCCAGCTGCTGCTGCTGCCGCCGCCGCTGCTGCTGCTGCTGCTGCTGCTGCTGCCGCTGCTGCTGCTGCTGCTGCTGCCGCTGCTGCTGCTGCAGCAGCGGCGGCTTCCGAGACGCACCATCGGGGCCGTCGGAGGTTGCAATGGTGTCAAAGGAGCATGGCCCCTGGACAGATATGGATGAGATCTTTGTGGGCGCCTCCGAGGTCACGAACACATCCGAATCCGAGGGCAGGCCCTGCGAAGGATTGGTTTGAGAGGCAGATCAGGGGCATGACACGTCTGCCATATTCCCACTCCAACTTCCGGCTGCCTCAGCTGGCGCATGCTATAGAGGCAGCCCGTCCAGCTGAGCGGACACCGGCGCCAGAGCAACCCGAGCCCTCCACCTGCCGCACGCGTCTGCGCCCTTCCTCTCAAACCGCCTGCCGGCGCCAGCCCGCTGGGGCGCCCACGCAGGTCGCCGGCAGTGCATGCATAAGAAGGCGGCCAAAAGGATCGTCATTCCCGGCGGCATGTGCAAAAAATGTTGATGTTGCAGACCCTCACCCTTCCGAAGGTCGTTTTGTTGATGGCCCCTGTGACATAAGTCGTCACTGTCAGCTGGAACTCGCGTTTTGGGATGCGTGGCGCGGGGTCGAGGCCGGCCAGCTGGATGTTGCTGCCCTCCAGGGGGGCGGCGACGATGACGGCGTCAAAGGGCCCGACGGGGCCTTAAGGTTTGGCGGCGGCCAGGCGGGCGGGCGGGCGCGAGGCAGGGCGTG